CCTGAAGGTACACAAAAGATGGGCCTCGTTCTACTGCATGTTCAATTAAGAATTAGCTAAATATTGTGACTGAGCTGTGGTGACTCAGGGGCTATACCCATACTGTAATTTTCACAGTAGACGAACAATACAGGTTGTTAGTTGCCTTTTTAAATGCTGATTTACCATGTACTCGGCGCTAAGGAGAGGCGCTAAGGAGAGGCGCTAAAGAGTGAAAATAAAACTGCATATGTGAGGATTTAAAAAATATTTCAAATATAGACATGTGAAGTCCGCTTGGGGTAGCGGGGCGGACATTTCCTTGTCCTAAATCCTTCTTATAGATGAGATTATGTCCCATGCCCACCCGTGTGACGTGTATGGGCTGTAACTTTACATATTATGACAATAATAGGTATAACTTTGAACATCGCAGGAATCATTTGAAAATGACATTAACTTAATTAAAAACATTAGAAAATTCTTTTGTTGTACGTGTTCTGTATTCTTGTTATATTGTATTCCTGCAACTTATTACCACAAATTATAGAAATAATCTTAGAGCTTAAAATATGTTAAAAATTAAGAAATAAGTAATTATTTAATAGTGGTTTTGCTTTAATATTAAACTGTTTAAGAGATGTGACTTAACACGTTCAGTGCAAAACAGGGCCTAAAACACCTTGTACATGTCTCGCCTGTGGTGCGGCAACGGAAAACATAAGCTTCTCTGTCGTGCGGAAAGTGTAACTTCTACTTGGATCAGTGTAGGAAAGAGATAAATATATATCTGAGATATGCCATTGATCCCGAGTTCTGTGGTATACTTACTTTAATACCGTGTTTTTAAACCTTGTGCCGCACTGATAAGTGAAATTTTAAATACAGTGCGGAACAAGGTTGGAACCCCTCGTATCCCCGCGTACCTCGTACCGCACCCTGCGCTAGCTTCGCGCGGCCTGTGTTGTGCATTGCATTCGAGATGCGCACGCGACGACATTTCGAAATGTTGCCGTAAAAAGTTAGATTTAAAAGACAGTGATAATGTAAGGCGGGTACTGTATATCGTCCCTGTAGAATCATATTTCTGCAATTTATTCTTCTGCGCTAGCACCAGCTATTACTTACAGTAGTTACAATAAAAATACGCTTTTATCTCCTAGTAGTATGTTGCACAGTAAGAACTTTTCAACATATACGCTTAAAAAATACACACACAAACACAACATATTCATTTTATATTTTCAGAACCCACAACAAACAAAACACATCATCTCGAAAAGGGATCAAAGAAAAGGAGATGTGTCGGATGTTATGAAAAACTCCGTACCTTCTTGCCAAGTCGTCAGGCTGACAAAAAAGTGAAGAAAGTTCTCACAGAATGCATTCGGTGCAAAAAATGTTATTGTTTGACATGTTTTAATGAAAAACACCCATAAGTAAAATAAACTGTACTAGCAGGAAAGAAGCAAGTCTTAAATTCTCTGTTACACACATCACATACATGAAAATATATATATTAATACACTTTACCAATAACAGAGTTTTACAACATGCTGAATAACATTTACGAAGCAGAGAGGTAAAATTATAACTTAATATAAAATAAATATATTACGCGTATATTTTACATACACGTGCGGTATAGGGTTCTATCACTTCACAGAATAAAATAAAATAAATAAATCGTTATATATATATAAGATGTTACATGTTATTTTGTAACATTTGTTTGTGTGTATTTAGGATTTATTAAGTCTAAACGTTGAGATATTTTTAAACAAACATACATTTTTCTCTCTTATAAATAAATACAATCAAAATAAAGTTTACCGATATTTTTATTTCCTATATCACTAAACTATATGAAAAACTGTCCTTATTCAGTGCGGTACGGGGCGTATAAGATCCCATATTTTATTTTTTACCCACAGATTCTAAATTAACTAGGTAACCCAACCACGGGCGGTGGCATACTTATTTAGGTGTATCAATTCATTGTTAATCCATAAAAAACAATTTTACATCAAAAATCAATTTTAGTCTCCTACGAGCGGCGGGGTTTAATAAGCCCAGTGCCGCCACAGTGTCTGGTTTAGGACCAGGTTCAGAACGCCCCGAAGCGTAGTAATCTATACATATAATAAAACTGTAAATAGCAGATGTCTGTACATTTTATATTTTTGTAATAAAAGTGATTGAGGGGTACTAAAAATAAGTAATTAAATACATTTCTACCATTTTTAGAATTTTCTGTCTGTCTGTCTGTCTGTCTGTCTGTCTGTTTGTTTGTTAACGTATCACGTATAAAGTACTAACTTCTATCATAAGAATCGTTAAGGAAATTATAAAGTGTATCTTCGTGTTACATTTAGTCTTTATTTCATTAAAATCAGTTCATTCCATCAAAAGTTATGATAAATATTCTGAAGTATGAGTACGAAGTATAGGTACGAATTTGTTCAGCGGTGGCGATGGTTGAGTCATCAAGTGCATTTTAAACTAATATCATATCATAAATCATAATTAAATTATTAAATTATGTAAAATAATGTTCTATAATGATATAATTATATCTAAAACGCAGTAAACAAAAGTATTAAAGAACGTTTTAACCTTATTAACTAAAAAAATCTAAAGTATAATAGTTAACCAATTTCATCGATAGATGGTGGTATGGTGCAAATGTACTTCAAAAAGGCTGTGGTTTTCCTGTAGATGAGTTTTCATATTTATTGTTAAGCTTTATATTACTCGCTGCCCTACTGCGTGTTGACAACTCATTTATTCTGTCTACTGTCGAGTACTCTATGTGGTAAATCAAATTTAAAAAAGCTATTAACAATTCCGTTGGTTTCGGCGAGAATCAAACTTTATTTTTTGCTTACTATGCAGTCACTGATTTATAAGTTCTTTTATGTTTTATATATATAATAATGTATCACTCGCGTCAATTAATCTCTTTTATTTTTAAGATTGATGATTGATGTTAGCAGCGCCATCTCTCTTTAAATATATACATATAATAAAAATGATGATAACATGTTGTGTCTGTTTTTGTACATTGTATAGAATATTTGTCACTAAAATCATTATGGGGAAATGAAAATAATTAAATAAGCACATTTTTATAATTTTTAGAATTGTCTGTATGTCTGTCTGTTTGTTTATGAAAGCATCACGTCTAAAGTAAACATCTTTTTTCAAAGTAATCGTTAAGAAAATCATGAAGCGTATCTTCAAGTTTTTTTTGTTTTATTAAATTTAATTTTTGTTTTATTAAATTTGGTTAATTCTATCGAAAGTTATGATTACTATTTTGAAATGTAGGTTCGACTTTATTCAATGGCGCCATAAAATCTCAGAAAAAGTAATAAAAAGATTTATGTGTAAAAAAAAAACGTTCTATAATAATATATTTATATTTAAAACACAGTAAACAATAAGTTTTCCTTAAATTAAAAAAGTTTTCTCACAAAGAACGTAATAGATGGCGTTGTACAAATTACATTATTTTCTGCATTGCGGTGATAAGATACTCCGAATCGTACTGAAACTCACTGAAGTGAGGATTGAGGAAACAACCAGAACCAATGTTCAAATGAAAATTAATAGATGTGATAATATACATAATAAGTTAACAAGAAAGGAGTGTCATTTCAATTGTTATTGTTTGAGCGTAGTGATAAAATTATACCTACTCTTAGGTTTTCTCATTAAGTCTTAAAAGTATTCTGTGCTTAAGAATCACTGATTAGAATACTACTAAAACTCTATAGACATAGATTACTGCTCTATAGACATTAAGTAAAATAGTCAACCAGTGTTATCGAGAGTCGATAGGTAGCGATAATACCAAATAACTTTCCTTTTAGTTAAGCGTGTTCAGTTCCCAGTCAGTGTGTGTTATGCGATGACCGTAAATAAAGCGCAAGGTCAAACTTTACGCGTTGCAGGAGTGGACCTGAGTACTGACTGTTTTGCACATGGCCAACTCTATGTTGCTTTTTCCCGCGTTAGTAGCCCCGGTAACCTTTTTGTGTACGCCCCAGATAATTCTACTTCTAACGTCGTTTACACTGAAGCTCTATCATAAACGACATGGAACTATGAGGATAACGAATTATTTTGTTATCACTTATTGATCCAGTAATGATATAAATCGTTTAATATTCTCTTACCTAAACGTCAAATTCTGTAAGTAAAACCTATATACGCGAGCTACGCCGCGGGCACAGCTAGTGGAAAATATAGATAAATCAGTGCCGCGGTGAACGTGTTAATCAGTGCTTCCATGCTTAATGATTAAAAATAATATAGGTATTAATACGTACTACTACTCGTACTTAAGTACGAGAGTTGACGGCCAGCGAATTTTTGTTTCTGTTTTATCGTTAAAATAATGGAATGGAAAGAAGTGGATTTGATACGTAAAAGTGATGCGATTATGTGTATTGAGTGTTTGCGCATGAAACTATTAATGGAAACGATGAAACAAGTACTCCGATATTCTCTAGTAAGTATGTCTGTTGGTGCCTTGAGATACTATCGTCATCGATTGTCTGCTGGCTCAAGCTGCCGTCAAAATCTTTTAAAACTTGTGACGAATCAAATATTACAAAAGATAATTCCTTATAAATTGACACTGGCAAAAGTACAAGTTAAACCAACATAATATATTGTGAACATAAATCATTTTGGTCTGTAATTACAGAATTTGTTAAAAACTTGACTACAGGCCATCTATCATATCCTAGCATAGCTTTGAACCATCGTTTCGACAAAAAAAATTGTGTGTATATGGTCAAATCGCCCAGACGTTACACGATCACTAACAGACATACCAACGAAAATAAATTTAAAGAATATATAATTATGATAAGATAGAGATAAATAGTAGTAAATAGTAGTATGTATAAATTGCGGATAAAGTTTGGGTAAACAGTAAGTAGTAGTACAGCTTTTGTTTCAGTGCAAATTATTGACATTTTGCAAATTTATGTGTAGGTGACGAAGTGGTCATGATACCGACTCGAAGCGGGAAGAAATTTCTTCTGATGCTGAACGGGTATACATATTCTCGAGTACATTACGGTCAACATTGGCTGTGCTCCTCCAAAGCCCAGGGTTGTACTGCCAGAGTTCAGCGGATTTACGATGGGACCGTTATCCGGGTCAATACTGAACATACACATCCTCCGCCTAAGTACATAATTAAGAATGGTTCTTATTTTAAAGTGTGAAAAATATCAATAAAGTCAGTTTTATGCTTATTAGCTACTGGATGTCTCAATTATTTATTTTTTCACACCTTTAGCATAACGTGTGTAACAACTAATAATTTACATTTATCATTAATGATGAACTAATTGGACTCTTTGTATTTGGAAGCATGATTTTGCTAGTGTTTTACTGAGATCAACAATACCTAATTCTTAATGTAAATATTTATTGCAGACAGTGAAGTGATAATGATACCAACAAGAAGCGGGAAGAAGTTCCTTCTTATGATTGACGGCTATACGTACTCCCAAATTAATTACAGCAATCACTGGCTGTGCTCCTCCAAGGCTCAAGGTTGTACCGCACGTGTACGCAACCATCCCGATGGCAAGATCCTAAAAATAAACACAACACACATACACCCTCCGCCTAAATACGTCTTCAGGAACGGCTCGTACGTTAAACTATGAACTGTTTGAGGGTTTAAAAAAATAGGTTCGAATCTGATATCATCGTGATGTAAGTAAGGAATTATATTACGGTAATTGATGTTGGAGTGAAGTTCAATTGACTGTCGTATAATTTTATGTATCACACGATAAGTATAAATAGGTTTATTTTTATTAAGTTTCCGTAGAACTCACTTTTATAGTTTTCTCTGGTTCTTTTTATAATTTTAATTAAATATATTCTTCATTCTTAATCTTTTTCTTTGTTAGATTTATCCTCCGACATACTTAAATTTTTTCATTTTGGCTACATGAGCCTTAAATTCCGGTAAAATATATGTTTGAAATCATTAACTTTTGGCCACTTTTATTGAAAATTTCTATATATTTACGTGTGTCATAAAACACCATAAATCTATAGAGATTTTTAGTATTTTTAGTTTGGAATATAATATTAATGTAAGTCGGCGTTACAGGTGTGCAATTCATCCCGACGGAGAAGGGGAAATATATCTTAGTGTTACGTGGATTTACGTATTCACAAGTTGGGGGACGGTTCTTCTATTGTTCCTCGAAGCATATGGGTTGTAGAGCGAGGGTCCGAGTGATAGCCGGGAAACTGGTGGCGTCGGGAGATGAGCACAATCATGCTCCACCGTCGCACGCGCGTTGCGGCAATGGAGCTTTCGTCCAACTACGACCTACCAGTAACTCTCTTCCAATACTCCCATCTCCTATAATCTCACCTCGTGCCGCCTCCCTTGCTTTACACGCGCTTAACTTTCCTAGAATTATGCCAAAAACAGATCTATGGCATCACCTACCCACATCTGATGCTAAAAAAAATCCATAGCTCTGAATATCACTATAGTATACGAATTGTTATAGTTAAACATAGTTTTATACGAATTTCGAAGGAGTCTAAAAGTTAACTTGTTTATTGATCTCCAAATATCTATCCTTGTAAATACTGAGGGAGCGGCACTAATTAAGTATAGACATAGCTTTTGGTGATATTTCAACACGATACGTAATTCCGTGATATTTTGAATAAATTATGAGCCTTATTATATTTGTTACTTACGCTGAATCTTCTACATATAGATGTTATTTTTAATATTGTTTGTACATATTTACTTTATTGTTTTATATAGAACGCAGTATATTATGAATTACACTCTGCTTAAAGTGAAAAGTTTTTTTACTTGAATTACGACTTCTTTAATACAATTTACTTACGACCTGAAAGTGGATTAGAAGTATTTAAAATGATAAAATTATGATGAACGATATTTTAAAATTGATGGGAAGCTATCGGTTGTATACATTTTATTTATTTATAGGAAATGTAAGAGTGATAAACTAGTAAACATTACGCATAGCAAAAAATGCAAATGCATTGTCACATCTGGAAACTAAAATTTATTAAAACGAACTGCTTCGGAAATAAAAAGTGTTTCCTGGCTCTCATTACACACCATACGAAACACAACATTATTCTGTTCCTATTCTGCACGCTGGTATTCTGTGCAAACGTGGTTCTTCATTGATGGAGCCAATCCATTCATAGTGCAGTTATAATTCGCAGCAGCGAGGTTTAATAATCTTTTTGCCTTTCTGCTTTTATTTTACTTTATGTATAAGTTAACACCTTTCTAATAATCAACATATTTTAAGCTTACACCTAAATTTGTGTTAAATTTATATCAATATCCAAAATACCCACTTATCATTAGGTGGGATAGTAGTACACCATTGGCTTATAACAGCTAATTTACCTTTTTTATTGAGAAATATAAGAGATTCTGTATTCTTTTGTGTCAATTATAGTTTTATTTATCATGTGAATCACGAAGTGTTTAGCCAGGATAGTTATAACCGAAAGAAGTCCGACAGTCGAAGTAAATTCAAAGGAATTCATTCTCATTTTTAGTGCCTAAAAGCTTTCTTACAAATATTTTGTTGTAGTTGTGCGGTATGAGTTGACCAGAGTAGGCAAGCCGTGTCTAACCATTGGGCAGTACAGCTTCCGTCGGGACTATACTACTGGAGATCGCGTGAAGTGGCGATGTCGGAAACGCGGCTGCCCGGCCACTGCCACTACCGTCGCTAATGAATTTGTTGGGACAAGATACGAGCATACACATTGAAACTGCACAACAGAGAAGGTATAGCGTTTGGCTAGTTCTTAGTATTCATAGCTCCTTAGTTTTTTTTTTAAATATTTTTGATTTATTTAAAATCTGGAGTAAGGAACTAATTAGTTACTATTCTGGCACTGAAATTCACCGAGGTCAGAAACTACTTTTTTGGAAATAAATGCCAAAACGTGAGCTAAATTGTTATTGTGGGGCGATTTTACAAAACGCAAGTGTTCTACCGAAACAATACGTAAAGTATACAACTTTGCTAAAACCTAAAAAGAAATTACGTCTTTCCCTAATTTTATTCGAATTCCCATCATAGAATAGAGGCGACACGAATCGTGTATCAAGTTCCCGTCAGCTATAACATGTTAAGAACGAAGAAGTGCCAGGAAAAAAACTTCTAGTAAATCGCACAGTAATGGATCGCCAAGAAGCCGGATGGTGTGGATGGTAACGTGAGCTTTGTCGCAATGTGGGTTGGTGAAATTTGGCGGCTGGAATTAATCCAAATTATATATATAATTATATATATATATAGAGAGCACTCCCGTGGTAAATGCGATAGAAAATGCAAAGGGGTGCAACATCTCTTCGCAGCGTCAGTGAATCGAGCCGATCAGAGAGAACTGTGTGGTTCCTTGTTCGTAAATAAACAATAAATATGAGAATTTGTGTTTCATAATATCATTTTCCCGGTTTAAACGGTTTGGTTCGCTGCTAGTTCTAGTTTATTTTTGAAGGAATCTAGTTTATTATCCAAAACCGAAGTGCCATGTATTTATTTTATATATAACAGCCCTTCTTTAGGTTTCGAACGAATATCTACTAACAATGTATATACATAATTAACACCATTTTTTCCTGATAAAAAGGCACTACAGCTGAGTCCTCAGGGGTTACAACGCATCTGCATTTTGATACGTTTATTCTCGAATACGTAATAGGCCTCAGCATTTAAGTACTTATCATGGGGAGGAGTGTGTGCTCGTTTGTGGTGGAAGGTGTGTTCACCCTTATTCTAAAAAAAAAATATGTCCCGTTTTAAATGAGCTATTATATTTATCATTTATTCAAGGAGATTTTTCAATTATATATATATATATATATATATATATATATATATATATATATATATATATATATATATATATATAAACAATTGAACCCAACGCTATACTCTACTACGTATTAACCAGTAAACAATGCAACTGTTTTGTTGTGCCACAAGGCAGTATTATGGGGTGTTTATTGTTCTTAATATATATCCACAACCTACGAGCTAACACGAAACATAAATGAGTTGTATTTGCTAACAATCGTTAGCAACAACGTTGGTAACAAAGTTGTTATAATTAATAGAAACAAATACCAAAGCCACAGATATGCTCTATAATCTGGTACTGACTTATACTTAAATAATAATTATTTGACATGTACGAGTATAAATAAATTTCGTATAAAAAAACGTAACGAAAAAATATTTCTGGGAGTGACACTGGACAAACATTGCAATTGGAAGTCTGACTTTAAATATCGAGTCCTTTACATAGTAAAAATATGGTTAAATGAATGATGTGTCAAGCGAATGTGGACTTAGATGTACCTATTTGATTTTGAACAAGTATAAAGAATATTTATAGTTGCATGATAGTTTTTAAAACATGTTCAAAATCTTGGTAGTTTTTAATGATCTGCGCAGTTTTAGTTACTGGTATATACATAAACCTATTTGGCACCAGTAGGAATAATAAGTAATAGTTCTTTAAAATTATGTTATGTTTTTGTTGCAGATATTCGTACTTGTATTTAGGATTGTTAGAAATACTTTTGTTAAAAATAATCTTACAAATTTAATTGTACTTTATGTGTTGTTTGCTTTAATTTAATTTATGTGCTGTTTGCTTTTATTTACAGAGGCGAAGTTCTTAATAAGTCCAAAAGGAAATTTGGTTTTGATCCATGATGGTATGAGATTGTACAAAAATTATCAAAATGGAGACAGAATTTCATGGAAATGTAATAAGATAGCGTGTATTGCTCGCGTCTTTACGTTCAGAGGAAAAATCATTGGAGTTAAAAACAAACACAATCATGAAGCTAATTATTTCACTCAACGCTATCGCCCATAAAATTTCAACAATTTTGTCGCCCCTGGTTTTACAACAATTATGAACCTTTTAGTTACCTCACGTGCAATATTCGGCTTAAATATTATGATTATGGCAGGCCAGTTACCGGTTAGTAAAGTGAAGCATAATAAATCTTCTTAATTAATTCATGTGTTTCTTACTTACTTTTACTTTTTGTTTTTGGTTAACTAGTTTATCTCAATCTGTGATTGAGATAAACTAGTCCTGTAACTGGCAGAAGAAGTATGACAGTAGAATAAATGCTGTAGAAATGCGGTCATTAAGGAGTATGCTAGGACTGAATCTGAATGACAGGGTGAGAAATAGTGTGAAAAGAGAAAAGTAAGGTATGCAAGATGACATGACCAGGATTAAGAAAGGAATGCTTCGGTGGTTTGGTCATGTAGAAAGAATGAACGAAGAAAGAGTGACAAAGCAAATTTATGTTGCAGAAGTGAACGGCAGAGTCGGGAAGGGACGCCCTAGACGAAGGTTTATCGACCAAATAGGCGATACATTGAAAATGGGCCAGATTAGGAGTACCCTTAACCGACGATCATGTATGCGTAGATATATGGATGTAAAGGAGGCGAGAGAGGTGTGACAGGATCGCGCCAAATGGAAGTCCGTAGTCTGTGCGGCGTGAGTGTTTGTGTAGTTTATCTCAAACGATCATATTATGTTATAAATAACGTATTCACAGATTAGTTGCTTCTTTTATTTGATAACCTAAACATCGAAATTAACTTTGTTGGATTAATATAACTTTACATGGCGCAAATAGAAACTGTAATTAGCAACAGAGTCCTTCTATGCGTAGTTATCCGTTGGGTTACCTATTGCAAAAAAGCAATCCTACCACAGTCTTCAATCGTCTCGGTTTACATCACCGCCTTAACTAATTCTGCCATCAGGCAATATTGTACCTATCACTGTCGTTTGGTTTAAAGGTTTAGAAAAACAATATACTTAAAAGCTGCGGGGCATTTATTTTTGGTTTCAACATAATATTTTATGTGTGGTAGAGCCATGCTGCAGCTATATTAGCAGTATAGTTATAGCACGAATGGGTCGGCTCGACCGGGAAAGAACCACGCTCTCACAGAATACCAGCGTAAAATGGCAGCTTGACGCTGCTGTGTTTTGTATGGTGAGTGTAGAGAACCGGAGACCCATTTTACTGGAAAAGAGGCATTCCATCTTAGTCTTTACGGGTGACGACGCATCTGCATTTTAATTCGCAAACGAATGCACAGTAACCACTTACGATCAGGTGGACCGTGTGCTCGTTTGTCACCCCTATTCTATAAAAAAAAATCTTGAAGGGTGATTTGGTAAGGAATATTTATACAGCAGGAGTTATCTGTCATTGATATTGATTTTTTAAATAAACTTTTTTAACAGCCTCTAAATCCACTGCTAATAAGGATGAACTAATGTAACTTTAAAAAATTTGCCCATACTCAAAGGGTTGATGAGAGAGAGCACGAGGCTACTGCTTCTCATTGTGTGTCTATGGAATTTTTGTTTGAAAATGTTCAAAAGAGTATTTAGCAGCATTTATCTGTCACTATAGCTTTCTTCGTCAGCAAACAAATTACACCGCGTGCAGTGTGAGGTTGACACTTGGGTAAGTTACTCGTAAAGGTAACGTTAATAAGCTTCTACGGCTTTGTTTATTGCATTGATAATGGAATATAATTAATAATTTTACAGCGTATTTATTTTGATTGCCGACTTTTTGGGCCGAGAATTAGAAATAAGTTAGGATTAAACGCGATTAATTCTCTGAAGTTAGATTCAATCAATTTGTAGTATTCGCGAAAATATAAGAGATCAATACATTTATTATTCGTTGCAGGCTTAATATATTTCGAATACGATGTTTAAACATCTGTAATAATGAGTTGATCATAGCTACTGCCGTACGAAGACACAAGAAAAATAAAACGCAAAAATTAATCAATGGCTTTATTTTTACAGATGTACCACAATTCGTTACTTCAAGGTTAGGCCGACCACAGCTGCGTTTAAAAGGGTACCGCTTCTGCGAGAGTTCGTCCTTCGGCCCAAAGGTGAACTGGCGGTGTACACGACAGCCACGCGGTTGCCGCGCTCGCATCACCACTGTGGACAACTGCATTGTGCGCCAAGAAGACAATCATAATCATTGAGGAATACGTCATGTACAGACTGCGGCAATCCATTGCGCGCCAATTAAGTTTCCGAAAACAGAAAGAAGTGAACAGTATGTCATGCCTGAAAATGAAGAAAAATTTGTCTTTCTGCACCATTATCTTCCATTTTAATTACGATAATTCGAGTGCATAGACACGTTTATCTCATAGTTCTTTTTTTTTTTAGTTTTTATAATACGGAAGTTGATGTACCTATGACTATACTTTAATGATTACAAGAAAAAAATTATAAAATAAATATATATTTACATTTTACCAATTACCTGAATAGTATATTATATAAAAACTTTTTATTTTTTCACTTTTCTGCCTTGGAGTCCGTTGTGGTACGTAACTTACTTATATCTGCTGCCATGCTTATTATGTGGTAGAGCCATGCTGCAGCTATATTAGTAGTATAATAGTTGTAGCACGAATGGGTCGGCTCAACCGGGGAAGGACCACGCTCTCACAGAATACCAGCGTAAAATAGCAGGTTAACACTGCTGTGTTTCGTATGGTGAGTGTAGAGCACCGGATACTCTTTTTACTAGAAAAGAGGCATTCTAGCTTAGTCCTCATGGGTGACAACGCATCTGCATTTTGATTCTTTATTGAGGGTAGATGTAGATTTTTATGGGTCACAGCAACCACTTACCACCGGCTTTGTTCTGGTTAGAAGAATAAGAAAGCAATTAGAATTACAAGCTGTGAGGCATTCCTCTTAGACCACGGGTGACAACGCGTCTGTGGTCTTTTTTATTTAAGTACAGGGCTGCATTGACCACAGCCTCATTTGTTAATTCGTTACTCTTTATGTTATAAAAAAAACCTACCTCAGACTTTGTAGCGTAAACGCTAGGTCATTAAACGTTTTAATGATGACAAGAGTACCAGGCGGAATATCGTGAAACAAATGAACTGGTAAAATACTTTTAAATTATAAAAAAATAGGAATTAACAAAATAAGTTAAAGCAAAGAAAAAATTCGAATAAATAAATTCCAAATTTTATTGCGGTTTTTGAAATTTATAACTTCACTATTATTTGTTTTGTTTTTGACTTTTTTATTAATGTGTTTTACTCAATTTTCAATTTAATGAATTCATAATTCGTTTTTAATTTAATTAAGTAATTTTTTATGATTTTGTTATTCGTATTACGTCAACGACTGTATGTAAATTGCAGTTGCGACATTCGTACATACATCAAAAGGTACGACTATGCTGGTTTACAAGGGCATGAAGTTCTCCAGAAACTATCAGAACGGCGCCAGGATCTCATGGAAGTGTAACAAGGCGGCGTGCATCGCTCGCGTCAACACTTTCGGCGATAAAATTGTCTTCACCAGGAACATGCATAATCACGCTTCTAATAATAGTTAATTTATTTGTGATAATTTTGTACTATTATGAATCCATTTTACTTATTTAAAATCTGACGTATTTTAGGATCTGGTGGTGATTTAATGAAGAAAGCACATCATAATTTGTGACGGTATATTTCTAGGTCTTATTTTAAAATGTATTAATTTTATACCTTCTTCTCTTAAAGTTTATTGCGTATTGTAATAATGTTATACAGAGTTTGTAATTGTCAGAGATCAATGTCTAATCTTATATAGAATATTAAAAAAACTTAGTACAACTTCACAGAATACCAGTGTTAAATAGCAGCTTAATGCTACTGTGCCTCGAGTGGTGAGTGTAGAAAAATGCAGACCCTTTCTACTGGGAACGAGGCGTTCATTCTTAGTCCTCAGGGGGACAACGTATCTGAATTTTGATTCTTAATCGAAGATAGATGTAGATGTCTATGGGCGACAGAATCCACTTACCCATGAGGTGGACTGTGTGCTCGTTTGTTACCCTTAGTCTATAACAAAAACATGAAAAAGTTTTAGAATTCATCTTTATTTGACAATTTAAAAAGTAATCGTGTATGTTTGGTAAAATATACTAAGATGTAAGAATATAAATCTTGTGATATACCATACTATTTTATTATACTTTAAGTATTGTAACTTTCGTATATTTTAAGAAAAATACAGTTTAATAAGATAAACATAATGATTGTTTCTAAATATCTTTTAGGCGCTGAAACTATACATTGTTTGAAACATGCAGATGTTATTACCAATAATTACCATGCATTAAATTGCGATATTTATACCCCGTTTAACAAAAGCGCAATAATGTGATTATCATTTTAAAATATCAAACATAACCTCATTATGGACCTGAATACAAAACAAAGTATTTTGTATATGTTTTTCTCTTTTTTATTCCTCCATCCTTTTGTTTTAAGTATTACGTTTATTTGTAGATTGAAGGTGGTGTAAGAGGCTCCATGATCCCAATTCGTCCCGTGGATGTTGTTAGAAATATGAGAAATACTAGAATAATTTTATGGCTTACGATAGATGATGGTAATTATACATTACGCCAGCAAATATGTTGATGTCACTGTCCTCTTCAGACCTGGCGGAGCTTGTAAGCGCACATGGGAGCGTATTTTACAATTCAATGAAGGAAATTGGTTTATCTGTACAGCTGTTAAAACTGTTATTTGTTATGTAACTTATACAAGTTGCGAGCAATCCATGGAATCGTTTTAGCTACGTATACTTGTAACAAATCCGCATGGCCTCCAAGGATCACAATATATGTATACGTTTTGTATAAATATGAATTACTTTAATATACAAAACAATCATAGATTGCCTCATAGGGAAGATATTTGCCTTAGTTGCCACGCTTGGCAAGCGGGTTAGCAACCGCAGTTTTTTTTTAGTCGTTATTAGGAAGACGCTGCTGCTTACCTCCTGAGTTGTTTCCCTCTGTCGCCTGTAACTACACCTACGGGATGATATAGGGTCGTGGATATTCTTACACCGCCAATATATGGTGTCAATTTGTTTTGTATAGAACTAAATGTAAAAGTCATTACAACCCGTAAACATGAAGAGAAAAAATTAACTAACGATCCAGTGTGATTTTTAACCCATAATCAATATTGCTGTTCAGATTTAAAAATTATGCGGCCTTTGACTTTAAAAGAAAGTTGATTGAAAAACATATCCGAACTTTTAACAGTTCAGCATTTTATCATTGACAAGTGACTGTGAGAAGTTATTTTTTCGTCAAAGATGTCGAGGTTCACAAGAGATTCGCGTGGTCGTGGTGTGTGTAATCTTATTTTATTTATGGAATCTTACAATAGTACAGAATTATTTTATGCGACATTAAGAACTAAGGAAAAAACTTTTATGATAGTTATTAATTTCTCTTCAACGTTTTAAATATTCATATTGTATGTTGTAGTTAATTAATTTGTGATTTTTTAATCACATACTGTCATACTACCATTAATATTGTCATATTTAATTAGTATTTTTAAAAACACATTGGGTCTAACTACTTATTTAAGTACGACCCGCTAAGTTTTTATTTTTACGTAACTTTATTTTTGTACTTTATTTCAACGAATGTTGAAACAAAATATTTTTTTTGTTTTAGCTTTACAAGAAATCAATATCGATTATATGTTAAATGATTCTGATCTTGAAGATTTTCTTCGAAATGATAAAGATTCTGATGATTCATCATTCTTACCTTCAAAAGTACAGCTGTCAAGCGTAACGGATAGCGGTAGTGACTCTGAAACTTACGAGCCCAATGTATATACAAACAATCGTGGGCGTGGTCCAGACAGAAATTTTACACTTCAAATACCCCAGTGCGAAAGAGCAAACATGAAAATTAGATCACTAGTAGATCCATCACAAAGAAGTTCTACGTCTGCCACGTGGGTTGAGAAAAATTTTATTTCCAAAGAACTACATTTATTAGAACCTTCTTATCTGGAGTGCTCATCAGAAAATTTTGATAACCCCCTGTCTTATTTTCAACAATATGTGGATGATGAACTATTAGATCTAATTGCTGCAAAAACTAATCAGTGTTCTGTTCTTAATGGTGGACGTAGCTTAAATACCTGTAAAGAAGAGCTTTATGTTTATATTGGAATTACCTTCATAATGGCAAGCTTAAATTTTCCATGTATTAGGATGTACTGGGAAAAAAGATGGCGAGTCGCTATGGTTGCGGACCATATGACAAGGAATCGTTTTATTCAAATAAGAAACTCCATAAAATTCGTGCTTGACAGCGATGTCACCCAGTCAACAAGAGATAAGGACAAGTTATGGAAAGTTCGGCCATTAATAGACAAAATACGAAAAGGGTGTTTATCTCAAAAGAAAAGTGAACATATGTCAGTGGATGAAATGATAATACCCTTTACAGGTACATGTGGTATCAAACAATATTGTCGTGGTAAATCAAATCCAGTTGGCCTCAAAACGTTCGTTCTAGCCAATCGAAATGGCTTAGTCTGCGACTTCCATGTTTGTCAAGGTAGTACTTCTTATCCGGATTATGAAAACACTCTTCTCGGAGCGGGAGAAGAAGCTGTTTTGACATTAGCAGAAAATTTGGTTCCAGGACATACCTTATATTTCGACCGATATTTCACGTCAGAAAAACTAGCAGATGAGCTTAATAAACTTGGTATAGGATGCACGGGTATGTTAATGAAAAACCGCATACCTATATCTGCGAGAAGTATAATTAAGGATGATAAGGAACTAAAAACGGATGGCAGAGGAAGCTCCCATGTTATTGTCAGGGAAGATGATCATTTAGTTATTACTAAATGGTTCGACAATAAGCCCGTCATCATGTTATCTACTGTGGAGGCAAAAGATAGTGTAGATTATTATCAAAGATGGTGTAAACGAAATGGGTGCTACGTGACTATAGAAAGACCTCGGGTTGTTCGCGAGTATAACAGTAATATGGGTGGTGTGGACTTAGCGGACAGACTACTGTCGGTTTGTCCATATAGATACAGAACGAAAAAATGGACTCAGCTCACATGTTGGATTTAGCGGTATCCAATTCATGGGTACAATATAAAAATGATCAAGGAAGTAAAAATGTTCCCGACAAAAAAATTCAACAACTCCGGTGGTTTAAAATGGAATTAGGAGAAAATCTTATAGACTCAAATGTAGACAAATTGACACAGAATAGTGATAGTATTAAAACAGAAAGAGAAGACATTGAAACAACAAATACAAAACGTAGGAGAGGAAAACCTACGACAGCATTACCTTCTAAAAAGAACCGGCTGAAAGAAGCAAAGCACATGCCGATTTCTGTTGAAAAACAAGGCAGGTGTCGACATTGCCACTACAAAAAATCAAAAATTAAGTGCAATAGTTGCAATATTACTTTGTGTCTTACTAGTAAACGAAATTATTATATGGATTTTCATGCTTGAATTCAAACATTGTTAATTGTTTTAGTTTTCATTCATCAAGATACTGTTTTGGTTAGGCTTGCTATAATTTATGAGGTTTTAGTTAAAATTGAAAGAGTGATGATATTATGTAAGAGACCAGTTACCTCGTTTTAATTTTCTACACTATTAGATGTAGTAGTAGATGTTAAGGGTAATGTGATTTCATTAATTTTATTTATATTTGATAATAAAAGTATGTCTTCTGATATCTTTCATTTAACTTATTTTATGCTTGTCGGCCTAGTGTAACATTTAAAGCACAATTTAAAAATCACTTACTTTTGCAAGTACTGCTCGATGTCATTTGTTTTCACTGTACTCGTATTTCTATTACGCTCAAAGCATAAGAAATTGCAGATAGCTGCATGGCATTTGGAAATTTTCTATCATTACTAGCTGACCAGTTCCAAAAATATTTAGTGCTGATATGAAAAAAAAGTACTTCATACGAATAAATGAAAATTAAAAGCGTAATAATACATAATTTTAAACACAAATTTTAGGTTCGAAGTCAATTGATTATTACTATAGCACTAGTAAGATGGGAAATCCAGTACTTGTAGTTAGCGGTTATCGCTTCAAGCTAATGAAGAGCAAGGGTAGCCAAAATCGGTGGATTTGTATAAAGACCAAGGAGCGCTGCAATGCTTTCGTAGTTACTGATGATGACACTATTATCAGAATGGTTGACGCCCATACGCACTAACAAGAGTTTTTGGAATGAAGTTTCTTAAATCGGACGGTACGAATTTGGCGGATAGGGGCTAGGCCAGAAAAAGTGTAAGAATTTCCGTCACGATCCCTTCTGACGTATTGGTTGTAAGAAAGCGAGGTGGAATAATATCTATCTCCCTCGCACTTTTTCCTAACTTGCCATGAAAGAAATATTAATTTATTTTAAATGACGCCTTATTTTAATAAACGCTAGTAATTCATTTATTTGTATTTGTTAATCAATAATATTATACGTTTATCAATAATAATATACTACGAAAGGAACTTCGTCCTAACCGAATGTTCCACGACACTCACGCATATTTTTTTATAATGCTGTTATTACTGTATGAAGATTATTTTAAATATATTGTTTTAAAAACTATGAGCTTTAAACAATGAAATGTTTTTATCATGTCTTATATGAAATAAAATTTACCGAAAATGTATTTTTATTTTCAACTGTTTAAAGCTATCATACGAACTGTGAAACGTGTTTTTAATATTTAGAACCCTACGGAAACTTTACAAATAAGTTAAATAATAATAACCGATTTTTTTTTAACTTTTTTAAATAATTAATAAGTATTTAGATAAGACCCTAGTGTTTAGCAATATTCTACAAATATTAATATGGTTGTATTTTTAGGGATCTCGGCCGCTATAAAGTTTGAAATGACGAAGTTTGGCAATCCTACTATATCATGGGGGAATTATCGGTTCATCAAGAAGCTGACTCGTCGTATGAAGACCTGGTGGGAGTGTACGGCCAGGAAGAGCAGCGGCTGCCGCTGCGTCGCTGTCACTGTGGACAATCGTCTTATGAAATTGAACGGATGGCACAATCATTAAGCCTCGATCATGTAAGATACTGTATCAAGGATTCGAAGAATTAATCATGCTCTTCAACGATTTAACTACTACTTAAAGGATATGTTGTTCATAGTGTTGAATTTGTATTTTAAGTAGTTTTATAGAATATAAGTTGCGAGTAATTTGCCCCCAAATTTAAGCTGGTTTTATACTTCCAAGTTACAAGGACGGGGTTTAGTCTAAATGTGTGTTTTAGTTTAGGTGATAGCTATTACTTGTTGCGGTTGCTAGATTTATTGATTAGAATACATATTAACACAAATTATTAAAAATTAGCGTACACAAAAAATTATATCCACGATGTACAATTAAAAATAATGGTGTCATATTATATAAGTAATTAGACATGATTGCTGCAAGCATTAATGCGACTTATTTTAATATGACAATAACAAATAAGTTTAAGGTTTCGTACTATGCGCGCACGATTAGAGCTGTTAAACTGACGTTCCGTTTCACATTGCGGACTAATGCAAATGGGCAAGAAATCAATATATTTATTTTCTAAATCTAATATATAATGAATTTTATACTAAATTGTTATTTAATTTCAATTAAATGTATTTTGTTGTATTTTTCAAAAAATAAATCAATAAATAATCTGAAAACTACGGCGTATTGTGACTATATCTTGTAAATTGACATTTGGAGATCAAAGTTGTCATATTGTCAATAAGAATATGATTGGCTTACCTAATTCTTAAACCAATCCTATTATTATTCTGCGTGTTGCGCGTATAGTAATTAGAAGTAGGAAAATATATTTTTACTTCACTAAAAAAAACTGTTGTTCGTATGCGTGTTGATGTGTGTGATGTTTGCGAATATATTTTATTCATTCCTTACTGTGTAAAATTTAGAATTAGTTCATTTATCGATAGTTTTAGAAATTGGTCAGAATAAAGGTTTACGTACGAATTAGTGGTTTTAATTATTTTTAATCGACTTAAAAAGAACAATTTGAAATTCGAATGTATGTTTTTTTGCATGTATGTTGCGAGATATCTTCGCAGATTGCGACCCAACATCAAAATTGGGTCGCAGGTTAAGGGTGGCAAACGAGCACACAGTCCACCTGATTGTAACAGGTCGATGTGGCCCATAGACATCTACATCTAACCTCGATTACGAATCAAAATGCAGATGCGTTGTCACCCCTGTGGACTAAGATGGAATGCCTTTATACCAGTAAAAATTGTCTTCGGTTCTCTACGCTCACCATACGAAACACAGCAGCGTTAAGCTGCTATTTTACGCTGGTATTCTGTGAGAGCGTGGTCATTCGTGCTAAAACTATACTAGTAAAATAGATGCAGCATGGCTCTATCACGTAAAAATAACGTTCTTTTCTAGCAATTTCAAGTTTGTTTTTACTTTTTGTTAATAGTTATAAGTATTGCATCGTTTTAATGTTATCTAAAAATCAACTTCTCCAAATGCAAAATTCACCTGCACAGTGCATACGGTGCTTACAACTGAAAAAGGTTTCAGCGAATAAATGCTGGTATTGTGATTAAAAAACAAATTCACATCAGACAAACAGGCGATGAGAAGTGAAACCGCCTTGCTCTCGGCTTTGGAAACTGGCCCGCTTGGTAAGTATGGGTACATTTTTTAAGTTATCAGTTGGCGCGATCTTGAGAAGGCTTAGTTCCTGCAGTGGGTACAAAAGAAGAAAGCATCAGAAAGTGAAACAGAGAAAGAAGATTTTATACTTTTAAATCGGCCGTAATTTTCGTTGGCCTAAGCCTTATTTTTTATTTATTTCAGGTTTGATTAAGGAACTATAGTTTTTATATGCAGGAACTGTCGTGAAACTTTTGTAACTTGGAAGAATCCCTTTAACTTTTTGAAGTCTCGTCTCTCTATAGTTAGATCCTCACTCTCTGACCTAACGTTAAGCTACGATAATATTACACGTTTTACGGCGATAATTACATGTATCGGAATCTACTTAAATACTCCGAACGTATATAGGTGATGTGAGTAATTTACAAGAATATGTGAAAGTAAAAAAGATTTGTACAACCTTTTTTTTTACATTAAAGATAAATAAGATAAAAAAATCACATGAAAGTTGTATTAGTGGATTAAAATAAAAGAAAAATTTTCTAAAATGGTATTCTCACTCGTTTATAAGTTAAAATCTGCTTAGGAGCAGGAATGTAAGTTTATATTTCATTTCAGAGCCGAAGTTCGGACTTTCGCAGCGTGGCAATCTCATCGTACAAATTGGGGACTGGCGTTTCAACAAACACGCTTGCTGGGGCTCGAAGGTCCGCTGGACTTGCATCAAAAAGAAATACGGTTGCACCGCTGCCATCACCACCGTCGATAACGTCATTGTGAAAACCCTCGGAAAGCATAATCACTAAATCTATACACTTTCTATCTTTTTTATACTAAAAATATATTTAGCTATAGCTTTGAACTAATTATTATCAACAAATGCATATAGACATTGTGAGATGTTCATTATACTAGGGACGAAATTATTTTTTATAAATTAAGCTATTTCTCCCTTATCAACAGTTAACACTATCTCGCTGGGCCTCTTCCTTTGTTAGAAAGATTAGGCAGGGATTAAGATTAGGAAGGATTTAGCGACCGCATTAGCAGATGCACTTTTGATACTACTAACAGTCGCCAGTCTGGGTATTTTGACGTCTGGCATAATACTTACAAAATATTTTTTTTTGTATAATTAATAGAATCAGGCGTTACTTTGTGAAAATCCATTATGTTATAGATGTTAAAAAATAATTATCTAAGATCTTAAGAAGAAGAATTAGATAAAATAAAATGATGTCTCTTACCCAGTTTGAAGAGCATATCCCGGCCTCCTCAATTATTGCGTGCACTGTCTGCATCACCTCTAATCACAACGCCACTACTCTAGGAAAGACACGCTACCGTCGGTAATACAACACCTTTAATAATTTTTTTCTAATGTCGGCGGTCATGAGATTTTTCAGGCTTTCCCCATAGCTGCTTTTTGCAAATGAAATGGGATAATGGATTATCATATGCTGCCACCGTACACCGCCTAATGGCGTTATCTTTTTTTAGTTATAAATCAAACTGAAAACATAATGTAAATAAGTGCAGGTTCGTTGTCTTATTTTATGTTTAGATTTTCTGCATAAAGCGTTGTGTATGCGCGTTCTCTTATAGCAGTTTAATTTCTTCGGCGTAGATGATAGCTTGTGATTATTTGGAAGTGCTATTGTCTAAAAAGACGTGTAATCTTCACTATCACCATTATCTTAAAAGCTTTTTGACGTTGCATCCTAGTAGCGTTGTTACTAAAAGTTTGGCAGTGGCGCTTAGAGCTGCGAGTTCGATTTTAGCACGGAACAAGTAATTGTGTTGTTCTACAAATAATAGTTACGGGTCTGGATGTTTGTTTATGTGTAATTTATATAATATATAAAAAACCTTCACGCACGAGAAAATCCTTGTGTGTTTTTTTTAGATGAACAAAAAAGTGGTAGGGTCACGCTGCAGCCGTATTGTGGCTACAATACAAACGGGTGGAATGAACAGGGTAAGAACCACCCTATCTCAGAATTTCAGCATCATTCACATAAAATGCTGCTGTGTTTCGTATGGTAGTGCAGCATCCCATTTTAATCCTCAGGGGTGATAACACATCTATATTTTGATTATTAATCGATGACAGATGGATGTAATAAAGTTGATAAAAACTTTAATAGAACGTCATAATTTCCATTTTTGTACTGGTTTTAAAAGTTCATCGCGAAGGTACGTTGATTTTTTGCAAGTTATCTTTTGTGTATTGAATGATGTGACACGAAATTTAAGTTTATCTTTAATCTTAGTGTCATTTATTATTACATTTTACTTAGAGCTTGTCGTTGTTTCGCTTGCAATTAATTCGGGCTAATTTTAGTTTTTCGAACAACACTCTTTGTGGTGAACATTAAAAGGTTATTTTTTAAAATTCGGATTAATTCACTTTTTTTTTTTAAATTTAAAAGCCTCAATGCTGTACTCAATTTTTTAATTTCTCACTGATTTCATACTAATACCTAAACAAAACAGTCACACGTTTTAGTCAAAGTGAGATTCTTGTACGATACTTATTACATACATATTATACTATATTTACGTAAGATTTTTATTTGTGAATCGCATTGATATTATAAATATAGGTCAAGCAAGTACATGTATCAATCCGAATCACAATGGAAGATGAAGTTTGTGAAACTTGACAACAATCACAATTATAAGTTATATATTTTTTATGTGTACTTTCCTCGTTATTATAATAAAAACATTGCCATACTAAGTTAAGGTACCCCTGAGTTGAATATCTTAAATATCTTCTACAGGTTTTGTTATAATTTTAATTGTAAGTAGATATTAATTAAGAGCTAATTATGTGTTCCCCCCAAAAATTTTACTTTCTATTATTTAAATAACCGACCAAGTGCGAGTCGGATTTGCGCATGAAGGTTCCGTACCATCGTAAAACACGTTTCGAGTAGGAGAGCCCCTTTAATTTTTTATTTATTTGTTGTGTTGTGTTGTGTTTTTTTGTTCTGTGAAAATGTCAATTGTCTGTTTACCTATTACGAATCATGAGATACAGCCCGCTGACAGACAGACGGACGGATGGACGGACGGACGGACGGACGGACGGACGGACGGAGAGCGGATGCTTAGTAATAGGGTCCCATTGGTTACCCTTTGGCAACGGAACCCAAAAAATGAAGACTTCTTTGAAGCTTGATATTACGTAAACTACACTGTTATGTTCGGTAAAAGAAAAATGAATTATTGATCCGTTGTTTGCGTTTAGGGAAACCCACTCCACTCCCTCCATCAGCACGTTAAGTTCACTGCTGGACAAGGGCATCTTCCGTTGTAGGGAGGATTTGCCTTTATCGTCACGCTTGGCAGGTGGTTTGAGTATCAGCTGTCACGCACCTTGAAGCTGCTGACCGCCGCTGGTCTAAGTATTTGAAGTCTGGTGTAAATGAGATGTTAATACCGCAAACAATCGGAAACCATAAACATTTTTGGCACATCTCGCGGTCACCTCTATAGACACCCACGGGACAAATTGGAGTGATAAACTCTGATAAGCTGATACCACGCCGCGATTAGAGAAAGAGTTTGAGTTTTAAAATGAGAAAAATAAATCGCAATAATATGCCTAATTCCTTTTTATCTAATTTGGCATCAAACTCTTCTGTGGCACTAAAGAACGGACGAACAGAAAGTTATGATAAAGACTCCTCGCATGATTTAAAACATCTTGTCCTTAGTAAGTTCATAAAAGTCTTGACAATTAGTTTCGCTGTATAACGTAATACATTAAGTTTTTATGTTTTAGGTAGGTATTTGTTGGTAAAAGAAACAGTGAAATCTATGTATTTCTTTAAGCTTAACCTATTTAAAAAATCTGTTGGTGAGATAGAGAAAAAACTACACTAGTGACACTAGGATACTTAACCATTGAAAGATAATGTTTTCACATTATTTGTAGTTCCTTTAAATATTGTTAAATGTAAAACGTATAATGATTTTCATGTGGTGTTATAATAAGATAGACGTTGTAACGATATCTCAATAAATTGCGTAGCGAATTAAGCGGACTGGATGAAATATAGATTTTTAGATGGTAGAGCTGTAATTTTTTTGATGAATAAAGTCCAAACCTCGATTGCGTTGTCTTTTTTTACATTTAATTTAGAGTATAGAAGTTACCCTTTTGTCCAATCCTAGTACGGTACTGACTGTAAGTTTTTTTTTCCAGATTTGAACCCTGTCTTCGCTCAATCTCAACGTGGCAATCCGGTTATCATGATAGGACAATACCGTTTCAATCGAGTCAACAAATACGGAAGCCGGATAAGATGGGTTTGCGTCAAGGCTAAAGCTGGTTGTAGGGCGTCGTTGCATACCATGGATAACGCAATCGTTCGTGTTTGGGGTTTCCATGATCCCATGGCGCATACTAGTGCTAACAGATTCTAACTAGGTTCTTTTGATTTTATTTGTAGAGTTGTTATACACTCAGTCACTAAACCTGCTATCATGAAATTGTAAAACTAACGAGAAAGATGTCTGTGTGCTTCATTCGAAAAATTATTAATTACGAGTATTATTATCAGATTATAATTTATAGAGTAGATGAACAAATGGATGCGGATTTATGAATTGTTGTTTATGCAATTATAATGTAAATAACAAATATTAAATTTTAGGATAAATTGCTCTGGCGCTAATTGGTTGAACATATTCCTTTTTAATTACAATATTTAATACATCCTATATATAAAGTTGAGGTTATTAAAATTAAATTTGTCCTATTTCATTTGGCAGATAAAGTATACAAAAGTATATAATAAGTAGACAATTAAGCATATCAGTTATTGATAATAAAATATTTTTGTAATTTGCACCTTTACGTTTTCGTAAAGCGTCTCCCACACACAAGCGGCTTGCGGTGGCGGTCAGTTATATTTGCTTGTCATGTTAGTGAGTCTGCAAACATGTGCGGCCATCTCGCGGCCTTCGAGCGGCTGGTCGCCGCCGCAAATCACGCCCCTGGCCGCGACTGCAAGCCACGCCTCCTCTGCCATCATGCTGTGTGCGGCCTATCGGTGGCCGCAGCGCCGTCAGTTGGAAATTTTTTCAACCGGCCGCGTGTACCGCGTGAAAATTGGCAATAAATACAGAGATTTTAATAGAAAAAGTGCAAAATTATCCAATACTTTATGATACTTTAAACCGTGATTATAAAATCATTCGAATTAAAAAGAAAATATGGGGTAATATTGCTGAATATAATAAGAGTAATAAGACTTTGTCACGGTTAACCATGTTGACTGACGTCCGATCGTAGCATAGACATTAGACACCACAGCGAATGGCGCTTCAGGCCGTCACTGCGACCGCGGCGGTGTGTTGTTACAGCGGCTGCAGCCGCGACTCGCGGCTAGCCGCCACTGCAAGTCGCTTGTGTGTGGAACACGCTTAACTAAAATTTTGAAACGTTTGTGAAAAGTTCGGAACCAGTTCACAATTAATTGGTGCTTCTAACGTCGCTGCTGCAAAAGATGCTTTAAATGAAATCGACGCAAGAAATATTTCGGATTCGGTATTGTTAAGCAATTTTCCTTTAATAATTAGGGTGGGTAGTTTAAGTGTTACAATGTTATAAGTACCTACATAGTTTTAGTTCAGTAGCGTCGATTCACTAACTACTTAGGCTAAACAGAGATCGTGCACTATGTTACTAACTTAAATATTACTTAGGTTTTGGTGGTGGATAAATAGCTAAATACTTTTTTCCAGTATTTAATCGTGAGTAATGTTTATCTTGACTAATATTTTAATACTT